GGAGGGGGGAGGGAGGGCGGGGAGGGGGGGGGGGCATCAAGGGTTCAAAAATCGGTTCCGAGAACTACTGTCGACCAACACGTCCACGAAAGGGCGTGTTTACCGCCTCTGTAGAGGATGTTGCCATTCGAAATGGAGCACGATTGTTGTATAATACTACAGCTGATACACGCTCCTTCCTAGCACATGTTGCCTCCCAACGACCAAGATCTCGTCCTAACACCTCCTTCGCCATCAGAAACTCTGCATGCTTAGATGTAAATCAGTCCAGAAATTGCTGTATTTCGAGAATTCTTTGGATTTTTCTTGTTTCTATAGCCACCAATGAATTGCTCGGCGTCATCACATTCACCCAGCAACCAATAGAGGTGGATGAAGTTTTCGCGAACACCTCTAATGGCTTCCGAGTGTGGGACCGTTCCTCCTGTATACATGGTTCAATGGGTTCTGGGCTGAATTAAGAGAAAATAGAGAAAAGATCAGTAAGCAATACTATGGCAATTATTTAGTTGATTACCAAAGGTTCGACTAGTGGAAAGGACCGATAAGGTCACCAAATATGTTACGCCGTCTTAATTTGCCTGAAATTCGATCTAGGAGCCATGGGTAGGGTACTGATGTCTTTCGCCACTACTTCATTTCCCCTTTGTATGGCTGCTTTCATAGTCCGCCCCCAGGCCTGCCGGCGCACCGGTGCAGTGACGTAAAACGAATTAGTTCGTAAGTAAGAAACGTACGTCTGTTGAACTCTCTATCTCCTGTTCTGGGGTGTGTGCCGATTCGTGCGATTCTGGGCGCGCGCGGCAAATTGCGCGGCGGAATTAGTGATGATTCGAACGACTCTGACGCCTATTATTGGGGCACAAACTTAAAGTAGAATAGTTGGGTATGGTCAGCTGATCCTACTAATCCACTCTACTCCAAGTTTGTGCTCCAATAGTAGGCGTCAGAGTCGTTCGAATCATCACGAATTCCGCCGCGCAGTTTGCCGCGCGCACCCAGAATCGCACGAATCGTGCGTCCCCCCCTGTTCTGACCTGTTCTGGCCGTGAAATAAAATGCAACAGACGTAGATCCCTTGCATACGAACCAATTCGTTTTACGTCAGTGCGCCGGCGCATCGGCCGGCCGGCCGGAGGACTATGGAAGCAGCCTATGGTGTAGTTTTCAAAATCCGATGCATTTTTCTTCCGACATTGAAAAGAACCAACTCTGTGGATCGTATCAAAGGCAATAGTAATCTGAGTGCTTATGGACTGAACCAAGTTTAAAAATCTTAAAGTCCCAAAAACACGAGATTCTTAAAACGCTATCAGCACAAGATGCGCTGTTGTTACGATGCCATGACCCTCCAGCTGACATTATCTCTGCAAATTGCCCTTGATGCGGTAGTAGCATGTCGAAGATTGGGGAAAAGCGAAAAAGAATAGCGGGTAGAACCAAAGATAACTGATTCCCGTGATAGTGTTTGCTGATAGACGCACGCATACGCACGCCGATTGCCAACTTTTATGGAAACCACTTACTGGTCATGCTTAACTAAAACTTTTTGTCAATAAAATAGCAGCTCTCTTTAGAAGTAGCGAAAGTAGTTACGGTAGTTGATCATCCCAGACCGCTATGACCCTCAGAAGTTCGCTTCTCCATTATCCCTAACTCGCTGCTGGAAAAAAGGGAAAGGTTGAAAAAGGGATTAGTCCAAGAGTAAGTCAGTTAAAAGCAAATTTCGATTTTATAGATAGTGAATGAAGGTAAATCAGGTCTGTTAAGGGCTTCGCAGCTGAGTAAATAGGAAACACAGGTGGTAATGACACTACTACTGATTGGGAGCAGTTAGATATCATGGGCATTAAAGGCATCACTATGAAATAACTCGGTAGAACGGGCGGCGAAAGCCAAGAGAAAAAAAATCAGAAAAATTCAATTATTGATGCGAACAAACAAAACTAAAGGAATGAGGTAAATAAGTGTTGATAACAAGTCAATACCAACAACAAACAAACAATATTAACAAGTTTCCTTTGAAAGTAATTTCTTGAAAAATTTCCTGAAAATTTAAAATCTTTCTGAACCTATATCTTTTTTTAAACATGAAAAAATTTACCGGTAAAGGAAAACGTTGAGGAGCCGCCATCTCCAAGAACTGACACTGATACGAATGGCTGCCTGATAAGCTCAACAACGCTCGTGAATTCACTATGAATCACTTTGATCATTCAGCTATCGATTGGAAGGTAAGTTGGAGGAATCAATCACGAGCAAAAGTAGGACATCGTCGAGAAAAAACTGGAAATTCAGGTAAGAAATGATTAAAGCGAATGGAAAATGATTGGTGATAGAACGGGGCGAACGAGGTGGTGGAAACCAAACAAACGCGAAGGCTCCTTGAGTGGTCGTTGAGGTGCCGGTCGACCTGTGATCTATGTCCCACGTGCGTGTGCACAGAAATGACTAAGATCCATAAAAACAAACAAATGGCTTATATTTCAAAACGAAATCGGTCTAAGCCACCCAGGAGGTGGGAAGTATGGAGCGGGGAACATGCTGATATCGATTTTCGTCAAACTATATGCCTTGACTAGAGAGTAAAGCGAAGGAACCAGTAAATGGGTGTGGATGTATTGGGGGGAAGAGGTCAGAACAGGTGCTGGAATCAATTGTAAGAGATATTGCTAAGAAGTAATAGAGGCTCCCACAGGTAAGTCATGAAGTACAAATCACTTTATCAAACTTTTTCGAGACTGAAATTAAAGCGAAGACCAGTTTTCGATGATGGACATCACCGTTGGGAAGTCACACAACACCTGCTCCCAGTCCTCTACCTAGAAACCCATAATTTTAATTTTTGTCGATACCTTGTCGGTGGCATGGGCATGGCGCAGTACCAGGTGACACCACTGCATTACGTATTCCGCGCGGATCAGTCATCGACCGACTAGCCGGACCACCCTGTCATGGTACAATAGGGGATATCATATTCGTCCAAAGGATAGGCAATAGCTCTATGGCGGCTCGCCTCGTTCTTCCTATAACATTGTGTAAGCCAGAGCCTGAGGTAGTATAGTGCTAAATGGCGCAGTACCACACGCATGACCCAGGGATCGATATTACCCCGCACTAACCAAGCCTTCCATCCCTCCGGAGTCGGTTGTTTGGTACCGGACTCGTCTGGGAGGATACTTGTAAAACTGCTGGCCAGCTCATTGTATTGGGCACATATGTATGCTTCAAAACACCACGACGATTCTGAATAGAAGTCGAATGAATGAAAATGTCGAATGAAAGGCGCATTCTTCAAATTGGATGGATGAACGTCCCAAGATTTTGTTCTTTAGACTTCTTCATCAAGGGTAAGCTGTACCTGGGAACTTTCTCAGCCAATGCTAGTCCAGTAGCAGTCCAGCCCAGTAGCTTTGAGTAAGAAAGTTCCCAAGTACTAGCTAGTAGAGTAAAATAGTAGTAGGGTAAAATAAAGTTCATTATACGATAAGCAACACTAGACAAAGAAACGACATACAGAAGGGCCAAAGAACGTGTCATATAGGAAGAACATAATAGGAAGTGTGTGAATGGAGATTCAATAGCTGACGAGATGGACTGTTAGGACGACCTCTGACTCTACCCGAAGTCGATTCGGCAGCTTTGCGGTGTCTCAGCTTGTCGCTCGACTACCTAGGTTCTGTTGACGTTTCGTCGACCGTCTGTCTCATGGCTATCTCCGCTAGTCATCCCTAGCCTTACAGCCTGGGAAACATCTTGAGTTAATTAGTCTTACAATATCCTCCACAGGTTTCCTTTTTGTGTGCTTTCACATCGATCTGGTCCGAAAGATCGAAAATTTAAAAAGTATACAACGAATTGTTTTATTTGGGTACTGCCAGAGTAAATTGCGATCCTAGATGAGTCCTGGGGAGCGAAAAAATCATCCTGACAGTTTTTCTCAATCTCCTACATGAAGAACATGAAGAGTTGCATTGGAGGTAACTGTGAGTGTATTTTTTCAACCCGTTGATCCCCACATCTCCCCAAACCCCTCCTCCCGCTCCCTCCATCCTCTACCGCTACTGTGACCAGATAAATACCGACATGTGTACATAGTAGGGCGAAGGACACGGGCTATAGGGTTAGTCAGTCACATAATTCATTGTAATTATCCATTGTCCAAATACCTCATAGGTGTTCGATTAAGGTCAAAGGGGAGGCGTATCCAAAAGGAAATTAG